AGTCATAGGCCCATTTTGGGTTTTCTGGTGGTAAATTGGAGATAAAAGTCACACATACTTTCCTACCGTGGCTAGCTTTGAATCATGATCCTCAGATATCAGCCTGCTGAGTAGCTAGAATTACAGTTGTGAATCACCAGCACCCAAGCTTTGTTTTTATTTTTAAGATAGTGTTGTGCTATGTAGACCATGATGGCCTAGCTTTCATTACCCTCCTGTTTTAACCTCCTAAGTGCTGAGGTTACACATATGTGCTACTCTGTCTGGCTTTATACAGTCTTTGATTGCAAAATATTTTAAAATAGAAAATAATTTCAAAGACATAGACATATATCTAAAGCTGTTTTATTATTTCTATTTTTTAATACTCAGATTTCTTTGCAGTTAATGCATGGTTATGTTTATTTTGGTAACAACATTTAACATAAGATTCATATTTCACATGCTTATATAACCACAATATTTTTTTAACTATAGGCACAAGATTGTACAAGAGATCAACAGAACCTTATTTTATCCTCTGGAATCAAAATACATACTTGTCCCATTAACCAATTCATCCCTCCTCTAGTGACTGACAGCCATCACCATGCTCTTCTAAAAAGGTGACTATTACAAATAGTTCATTTAAACAAAATCAAAAACTATTTCTCCTGTGATTGGTCTGAGTAGGTAATTATCACGTTCTCTAAGTTCATCCAGGTTGTCACATGTAGCAGGATTTCCAGATTTGGAAGCTAAATAGAATACCTCTGTATTTATATCTAACTATTCTTTATGCAATAACTCATCGGTGGAAATCTATATTGTTTCCTTATCTTGGATAGTGTGTATAATGATGAAATTAATATGCAAATGCAAGTATTTATTGAAGGTACTGAGTTTACTTCTTTTGGATGTGAAGCAAAAGTGGGATTACCAGGTCATACAGTAATTATACTTTTAATTACTGAAGAATATCCATTCTGCTTTACATATCAATAGCAGCACCACATTCTCATCAAGAGTGTACATGATTTCTAAGATATCTTTATCTTTACACATGTTACCTTTTGGCATATTATCATAACAATAACAATACATGTGACATGATTGAAAGGTGGCTTTGATTTTCACTTCAGTGAGGATTAAGGTACTTTTTCAAATACTGTTTGATTATACTTGTTTGCTAAACAAGCATGTATTGTATTCTTTGTGCAACTTATTTTAAATGAAGAGAATCCTTTCAACATTTCCTGTTCTTGGCGCCTATCTCTAACATCAGTATATGGTCAGCTTATTTCTAGATTCTCCATTCTGCTATAATGTCTGTTTTTATGCCACTATTGTAATCATGATCATTGTAACATATTGTGAAATTAGGAAGATTAAAGCGTCCAGTAATTTCTTTTGTCATGACTATATTGAGTATTCAGGCTCTCTTGAGGCTCTATATGAATTTTGTATTTTTTTTCAATGCCATTGAAGTCCCAATAAAGCTAGGGGTTTCATTAAATATGTAGACCTTTATAGATTATATGAACATTTAAATATAGTTTTTGTAATTCATGACCATAAAAATGGTACCTTTCTTTTTATTTGTCTCTTTTTATGTCTTTTCTGAATCATTTTAAACTTCTTACCTATAACTTTTAACTCCTTGCTACTGTTAATGAGTTTTTTTTCTAATTTGCCTTTTTTGATACATCATTATTAGTATACAACCATTTTTGTGTTATTTTGCATACTGCAAATTTACTGCATACATTAATTCTAACAAATGTGTGTAGACATTATTTACAGATATGATATTTTCATCTGCAAAAACAGTTTCACTTCTCATTTTTTTGATGTGGTTGCCCTTATTATATTTCCTTGCCTAATTATTCTGGCTAGAGCTTTCAGAATTATATTGAGTGGAAGTAGCAAGAGTGGACATCATTGTTTTATCCTTATTTTAGAGGAAAATCATAATTTTCTACTATGCAATATATTATTTGTGGCATTTGCAAATATAGCATTTGCTATGCTGAGGCACTTTAACCTATCCCTAGATTGTTGAGATTTTTTTCATCATAAAATGGAGAATAGTTGATTTTTAAATTTACTAAGTATTGAATTCATGATGCAAAAGAAAAAAAGAGATTTTGTTCTTTTTTAGCTTTGTGATTGGTATGAAATAGTTGTACACATTAAAGCGATATAGTGTGACTATTTGATAGAAGCGTAGAAATTGTTTTTCCCTTTTTTTCTAAAAATATGAGTTCCAGATAATAATATTTTTATCTTATGCAGTTTTTCTCAGGTATCCCTGTTTTCATCTAAGAAAATATCAAGTTTAGATTTAAAATAAAGCACTAGTCAGCCATGTTTCAAGCTAGAAATATTGAATATCTTATAGTGAAAAGAAAATGTAAGGGTCCAAGTCCTTTTTTCTGCTCCCATTTGGACACTTTATTATCAATTGTATATATTAATATGTGATGGAATGAACTCAGAATGTCAGTTGTTCATGATTCTTTCATGCAAAAAGTTCTCAGGTATTTCATGGATTTCAGAATGTAAATCACAATTACACAGTTTGTAAACTTGTTTTTAGATAAAATCACAGTACAGATACTCTGTTTCTGATTTTTTCAATTTCAGAGATGTATCAATTTAAATACTAAAATGATAACACAAATTATGGGTGATTGTTTTTCTTTTCTTCGTTAAACTGCGGTTCCACTGAAACAATTCTGATAGTATTAATTTACTGCAAAGTAGTTCAAGTATTCTGATCTTTGATCCTACTTTTTTTGTGTGTCCTGGGGCCTGAACTCTGGGCCTGGGTGCTGTCCCTCAGCTCTTCAACCCAAGACTAGTGCTCTACCACTTGAGCCATAGTGCCACTTCCAGCTTTGTATGCTTATGTGGTGCTGAAGAATCGAACCCAAGGCCTCATGCATGCAAGGCCAGCACTCTACCACTGAGCCACCTTCCCAGCCCAGCCGGATCCTACTTTTTCACGATACCTTCTGCTGCCTATACAACAATGACTTCAAATTTTTCTGGTAAGGTTAGATAGAAGATGTTTGAATGTGTGTGTGTGTGTGTGTGTGTGTGTGTGTGTGTGTAATATTGGAGAAAATTAGAAAATTGAATTGGGACATCTTTTAAATGGTTACATGAACAAATGAACATATTGATTTTTGTTAGTGAGGAGACTGGAAATTTTTGTTTGGCTTTATGTTGTTACTTTAGTATATACCATGTTTCAGTAAAATATTTTAAATGGGAAAAATTTACCACAGATTTAACACATTTCAATTATTACATATATAATACAATGAATACTTTTTATTTATTCATATTTGTTTATATTTTATTTTGTGGGATGGAGAGATAAAACCTATGGTGTCCCACATGTTAAGCAAGCACTCTACCATTGAGCTAAACTCTCAGCCAGGGAAAAAATGTTTATAAAAATTTTAAAATCACGAAGTAACCACTTGTCCGAAAATATTGCCACTTTATTTACTTTATTTCTACTGTAAATTGGAAATATAAAAGTTTTAAAAATAAAAACAAAGCAAAATACCTGTAAAGACAGGAACTTCTGAATCTTATGACTTAAAGGTTGGAGCTCATCTTAACATGTTTAGTTCATCTGTGAATATTAATTATATTTTTGAATAGATTCTGTAGCTTTCACCTTTGAGTTTTTTGTAACTATGACTCTGAAGGAATGTCAAAATCTTCAATGTTTAGTAGCAGTAAATACATCAAAAGACATTTTTTATCTCTATAGCTATTAAAACCTTAATTTTGCTGGAGCAAAGTGAAGGATTCTGCCTACTACTTGCTAATAATGCAATTATTATGCTGTAGATTAATTCAGTAATGTAAAAGGCCAAAAACAGCATGACCTTGTGTGCTATTTAACTCTGCACAGGACCGGGAATTCGGTGCAGCTCTCAACTTTTGATTTTACAATGCACTCAGAGAAGTGTGCTACATATGTCCTCTTTCTTAAGCAAAAATGATTTAAGAAATTCTTATTTTTTTTAAAAAACCTTATGTATGTAGTCATTCCGTCTTGGTCATGGACTCCTTCAGTCATCTTGGAATGAGCAATCTAAGACACTATAAGTTAAATAAAATTCATTTTCATTTTCTAAAAAAATACCTTGGCACAGAGCAAGCTGGAAGTTACCCAGCATGGTTCCGGGTTGCCTTTTGCCACGCCCGCCCCTCCTTCCCACAGCTACAGGCTCTTGGTCCCCCAGTCAGTCTGTCCTGCCCAAAACAACCTCAGTCCATCCTTCCCGGTTGGGCCCACATGCTGCGCATCTGCCCTTTTCTGCTGACTCCGCCCCGCATCTGTCCGGACCCGCCTCGCATTTGAGCTGACCCACTGCACTTCTGCTAGTCAGTCCCTCCGGACCTGCGGGAGCCTCAGTCTGCTGAAATCACCGCGCCTCACTCGGTCCGTACCCAGTGGGCATCTTGGGTATCTGGGCGGTCTCCTGTTCCCTGCGCGTGCCTGTGTGTCTGTGTGTCTCTGTGTGATCAGCTGCCTGCAGCCTGTCTGCTGGTCCCAGCGCACCAACTGTCGGGTGTGCTTTTTCCCTGATGTTGAGTTCTGAGCGGCCTTAGTGAGCTGTGAGCCGCCCTGAAACAGGCCAGGCAGCTGGCGGAGGAATACCACTCTGCCCCTGCACTTGCTGATACCATTTTAAACCAACCGGAGCTCCTGGCCTGTTTTTATGCTGAAAGCCGGTCTCAAGGCCTCTATGGGCAAAGGCAGATGGGCTGGGTCGGGGGAGGGGGGAAGCCAGGCTTGTAGAGATTTCTAAAAATCATAGGGGAAAGAGAAATTTTGTTTCTGTTACTGGCTTTGAAACTAATTTTATATCTGTATGGGTAAAAAATTGTATCCTCAGGGAGTTCAGATTTCTTATTGGGGTGCCTTTTTTGTCTGATACATTTGTCCTGAGACTGCTAACCAGCTGTTTCTGAACTTCATTTTCTCAGCCTCAGCCTCAACAGTGATTCTGAGTCTGCTTTTTGCTTCCCTTCGCTTGCCTTAGCTTTTTCTGTTCTTGAACAGCGGTTTGGGCTATAGATTAGAGAAAGCAGCCTTTTTTTCCCTATCTCAAGAGAGCCTCCTCTCTGTGCTCAGAGAGATGGGGAGTGGGGAGCCTAATCCTGCTGGGAAGAAAAAGAAGTACCTCAAGGCTGCCCTCTATGTGGGTGACTTGGACCCAGATGTCACTGAGGATATGCTCTATAAGAAGTTCAGGCCTGCAGGTCCTCTGAGGTTCACCCGTATCTGTCGTGACCCAGTGACCCGTAGTCCCCTGGGCTATGGCTATGTTAACTTCCGCTTTCCTGCGGATGCTGAATGGGCCCTGAACACCATGAATTTTGACTTGATTAATGGCAAACCATTTCGTCTCATGTGGTCACAGCCAGATGACCGCTTAAGAAAGTCTGGAGTTGGAAATATATTCATCAAAAATCTGGACAAATCCATAGATAACAGAGCTCTGTTTTATTTATTTTCTGCTTTTGGAAACATTCTCTCCTGCAAAGTAGTATGTGATGACAATGGATCTAAGGGCTATGCCTATGTACACTTTGACAGTCTGGCCGCTGCCAATAGGGCCATCTGGCATATGAATGGAGTGCGGCTCAACAACCGCCAGGTATACGTTGGCCGGTTCAAATTCCCAGAAGAGCGAGCAGCTGAAGTCAGAACAAGAGATAAAGCAACTTTCACAAACGTTTTTATTAAAAACTTTGGAGATGACATGGATGACGAAAAACTGAAAGATCTTTTCAGTGAATATGGAACCATTGAGAGTGTTAAGGTGATAAGAGATACCAATGGGAAATCTAAAGGGTTTGGATTTGTGAGATATGAGACTCATGAGGCCGCTCAAAAGGCTGTACTGGACCTGCATGGGAAGTCAGTGGATGGGAAAGTCCTCTATGTAGGGCGAGCACAGAAGAAAATTGAACGACTGGCTGAATTAAGGCGGAGATTTGAAAGGCTGAGGTTAAAAGAAAAAAATCGGCCCCCAGGGGTTCCAATCTACATTAAGAACCTGGATGAGACCATAGATGATGAAAAACTGAAGAAAGAATTTTCTTCATTTGGATCAATCAGCCGAGCCAAAGTGATGGTAGAAGTGGGGCAAGGCAAAGGGTTTGGGGTCGTCTGCTTCTCTTCATTTGAAGAGGCAACCAAAGCAGTGGATGAGATGAATGGCCGGGTAGTGGGCGCCAAGCCTCTGCACGTCACTCTGGGCCAGGTCAGGCGCAGGTGGTGAGAATCAGAAAGCTTAGATTGTTTCAGCCTTAGTGAGAGCATACTTAGCTTTAGCTCCTTTGTGATAAGAAATTATTTTATTCCAAGTCACAGGTGTATTTTTTTCTCTTTTTTAAGTGAATATTTTCTTTTGAAAACAAAGTGAAACTAAAAGAAAACTTGTTAATTTTAGTGAAAAAGTAATTTTCTGTGTAAAATTGTCATTTTGTACTATTTTTATATAATATCCTTACGAATGTTGTAGAATAAATTTAATTCCTTCCCATTTTTTCCTGAATAGCCAAGGTGAAGCAATTATGTTTACCTCTTTATTTCAATATTGCTAGTTCTTATTTTTCCATGAAAATGTTCTTAACATTGTCCCTAATTCTGAATCTTTCATAGTTAAAACTCAACTTGTATTTTGAGAGATCTATAGGGCAGGGGGGAATGTGTAGGATCCAGTTAACATGTCTGCATTATTTCAAATGAACGTTCTTCTAAAATATATGAAGCGTCTTTTCTTCTCTTTATTTATTTATTTGTATTTTTTTTCCCTTTTAGTATATTGAGAGTTCACTATAGATTTGGTAGTGGTTGTGATTGAATGTGTGGAGTTGTCGTCATTAACTTCACACCTTGTTCTCTCAATCGGTACTTTAGTAAACACATTAGGCAGTGACTATTTATATTATGATTTGTATCAGAAAATCTTTGTTAAGATATTTAGTACATTTTCTTGGTTTATGTTACAAAAGAAAGATGAATTATTGCACTAAATTCACTTTACATATAACTAATATTTTACTTTTAATTTTATTAAGTATCAATGTAAAAATTAAATAATCTATACATCATTGGTAAAAACAAGCTACTTTAAAGATCACCTTGTATTTAGCTAGCTCTTGGAGTTTCTTGAATGGCATCATATGCTAACATTTACAGCAGTTTCAAAGTTACTGAACAAGTTGTCTCTTGATTAAGTCATGTGACACCCTCCATTGTATGAGAACTATTATCTCAGTGTAATTCTGTTTAGGTCTTGGAACTTTGGAAATTCAGAAAATATGTTCTGTTTTCTATGGCAGCTATATAATGTATCCTGCAAGTTTTAGTTAAAAATTTCCACATTTCACTTTCAGTTTTCTTTGTTCTGTGGAGTGCATGGGCAGCAAAGATGGCACTGAGAGGGAGTTGAGTGGGCAGAGGCTGATTTGCTGTAGAGCCCATGGGCAGCAAAGATGGCGCTGAGAGGGACTTGAGTAGGCAGAGGCTGATTTGCTTTATGTTCAGTGCATAACCAGCCCTTGGAAGCTTAGGTGCATGATAGGGTTGTGACCTTCACAGTAATTGGTTCCTTTTCCTCCCTTGCCATGCCACCTGCTCTTTTTTGCTTTAAAAAGGGCTTGCTCTGTGTTAATAAACGAGTTTTCCTGCTTGACTTGACTCCCTGCTGCGTCTGATTATCTCCGGGGCTAAGGGAGGCTGGGGAACAGGCAAGCTGCCGCACTTACCTTTCCTTGGACCCAGTCTGTCTTTCATGAGATGGACGAAGACTGGACATTATTCCACACTGTCTGCCTACCATTCATATTACATATATTTTAAAATTAATTTTGGTATTTTATTTATTTAACTGTATGCTATCTCAAAAAATCTATTTAGAAAGTATAGAAATATCAAATTTGGGCTGGGAAGGTGGCTCAGTGGTAGAGTGCTTGTGAGGCCCAGGGTTCGATTCCTCAGCACCACATAAGCAGAAAAAGCCGGAAGTGGTGCTGTGGTTCAAATGGTAGAGTGCTAGGCTTGAGCTGAAGAGCTGAGGGACAACACCCAGGCCATGAGTTCAGGCCCCACGACCGACCAAAAAAAAAAAAAAGACAAGGAAATATCTAATTATAAAATTTGTATACTTTTGAAAATTTATGATCTACTATATTACAGTCTAATCACAAGAAATATTTTTCTTTCTATTATCAGTTGGTTTTGCTTATTATATAGGCAACTCTTCATTTACATATATAATACAATATAAATATGTAACTTTTAAGAATTTTGTTTGTTCATTAGCCATAAAATGAGAAATAGACTGTTTCTCTATAATTATTTATAGAAAATTACACGTTTATTAGTTATCAAAGATTCAAAAGTGAAAATCAGTGTTTTGTTGATTATAAACATATTACATGCTCATTACAAAAATGTACATAATGCAGAAATAAGATAACCACTTAAAAGGTAACCACTACTATTTTATTTTAGTGTGTGTATATTCACCTATGCCTTTTTTTTCCTATGTATACACAGACATTTTTCCAAAAATATGCTCTGTGTTCTGTCTTGTATTTTTTAATTTTAAGCTGAACCATGGTCATCTTTTCATGCCAATAAATATCTATGCCATTTTAGTGACTGCACAGTATTCCATTGTGTAGATGTACTATAACTTATCCAACTCACTTGTTATTGAAAAAATTCATATGAGTCCAGAATGTTTTACATGTTTTAAACAAAACTGTGATAAGCATAACTTTTTTAAACCTATTGTGAAGCTGGACATTGATGGCTCATGCCTGTAATCTTAGCTGCTTGGGAAGCTGAGATCTGAGTATCATGGTTTGAAACTAGCCTGGGCAAGAAAGTCTATGAGACTCTGACCTCCAATGAACTACCAAAAAAGCTGGGAGAGGAGCTGTGTCTTATGTGATACAGCACTTGCCTTGAACACAAAAGCTCAGGGACAGTGCACAGGCTCTGAGTTCAAGCCCTATAACTGATGAAACAAAATAAAACAAAAACTTTGTGAGTTTTGAATTTGAAAAAATACCAATGGCATGTAAAAGCTCAAATCTACTAGAAATAGTATAATGCACATTGTATTTATATACCAGATTTTCAGAAAATCTATACATTTTGCATCATATTGACAAAGGGAAAACTGAACACAGATGATTTCATATTTTGTGAACCTATATACATTACATTGAGATCATTAGAAGATAAGAAAGCCATAAAATTTCAAAATAAATTTAGTAATTTTTACTATTTTACATTGTTAATCACTGCATATACTCTGTGCTTGTTTTTACTTATTACCATTTTCATTTACATTTATAAAACTAAATTATTGGTGTGTTAATCTGTGCATTTTTAAATGCCTTTATTCAATATAAATCTAAAGAGATTCTAGACATCAAAACTCAAGTATAAAATACACATTTCTGACACTTATATTTATATTATTACTATTTGCTGAGTCAGCCATGAAAGAACAAGAGAAATGAATTGTGCCTAAGTATATGTAATACATATATATTTAGGACATTGATAAAGACTTGGAAACACTTGTAAATCAGGGTGGATGCATAAATGAATGGTGGTCTCTATTTTAACACAAACAACTATGTGTACTTTTCAATCTTGTATGTGTCTTTTTTAGGTGTACTTTATTGACTACTAATAACTGAGCCTTCCAAGGAGGAATAACAAATTGAAATTTAAACTTTTGGAAATGATCTTTTTTGTTGTTTATTTTCAGTCGTGGGGCTTGAACTCTGGACCTGGGCACTGTCCCTCAGCTCTTCAGCTCAAGGCTAGCACTCTACCACTTGAACCACAGCACCACTTTCACTTTTTTTTCTGTTTGAAGCCATCCCAGGCAAGAAAGTCCGAGAGACTTTTTTCTCTCATTAGTCACAGAAAAATCTGGAAGCGACACTGTGGTTCAAGTGGTAGAGCACTAGCCTTGAGCAATATTGAGTTTTTATTAGCCATGTTACTAATGGACAGCTAAGTAGAAATGCTGCTTTATTTTACGTAGATTCTTAAAGCAATTATGTCTACAAACCTTAAATGTGCCAGTGGAAAAGAGAAAATTAGAATATTGCTTTGTGATGACAAGCAAACAATTATAGTTGAGGTTATATGAGTAAGGGAGCTATCTACAGGGAATTTCACACATATTGCTGTCTAATAGTATCAAAGATTAAGGAAAAAATCCATATAAGTAATATATTTAAATATAAAAAGAAAGTATATTTTAATGAGAAATTTATAAATGAATAGAATATCTTCCTTGATAACCAATGTCTTAATTTTAGACAATATTTTAAAATATTCCAAAAAAATGACTGAATACAGATGATACAAGTCTTCCCAGTACATATAACAATACTAGATATATAGTGGGAAATCCACATATACTTGTTAAGTGAATGCATTTTTATTATGTGAACTGTTTTCTCCATTGGTTTGCTTTCTGATTTTTTCTTAACATTGAACAGCATAAGTAAATCATTACAAAATAAGCTATTTTTACTAAATATTCTACAAAAAACAAGTGAGAACTACTTTAAGTAATTGATGAATTGTTAATCACATAGATTCTTATTTAGTGTTGAAAGTTGTGACATTGTCTTTAGTATTCTCATGGTCTTTCTTTCATTATTATTTTTTCATTATTGTTTAACATGCCACAAAACTTTTAATAATTGGTGCAACTTTCAAAAAGTATGTGTAGAGTAACACTTTGTATAAGTGACATACTTCTTAAAGATCAATATTATTCTGCTAAGTTTTGCTCCTATAATGAAATACATGATCATAGTAAATACTGAGATATGAGCACTTGTTCATATGAACTCAATTCCTACACATTTTAAAGTGTTGTTTACAACCTATAAAATATAACCCACCAAATGATTCCTTAGAGCCTTAAGGTACTGAATATATTCCACTTTCTCTGGGGGGTCATGGTCAATTTTTAGAAATAACTTTGCTATAAACAATCACAGGTTCTACTTAATCAAAGTACTAGTAGTAAGGATATCATTCTCATGTAATAAAATTTATCACCAAGTAATTTACTCTCAAAAGTAATAATCAAGTTTATAATAGTTCTTAGATGAGAGGAGGAAGATTTCAGTCTTCTTGTTAAATTTATCAAGAGTAGGAGCCTGCAAAGTTGACGTGTGTGTGTGTGTGTGTGTGTGTGTGTGTGTGTGTGTACGTGTGAGTGCATGCCAGTACCAGGGATTGAACTCAGGGCTTGATCCTCTCCCTTCGTTAGTCTTGTACCATTTGAGCCTTGCCTCCAATTTTGGCTTTTTGGTGGTTAATTATAGATAAGAGTCTCACAGACTTTCCTGCCAGGCCTGGCTTCTTACCCCAATGCGCAGATCTCAGTCTGAATAGCTAACATTATATGCACGAGCCACTGCCTCCTGGAGAGTGATTCCAAAAACCTAGATTTTACCAATTATTAATGTATCATACAATCTATTATATTTAATGCTCAAAAATAATGAA